AAGAAAGTACTGCAGTATTTCCTGCACTTTGCGGGAAAATGAGCAAATGAAAAAACCCCAAACATGTGCATGCCTAACGTTTAAAAAAACCCCACAACCTTTTTCATTATTGTATGTAACATTATCTGCTTGTGCTTATCTGTTCTTGCTTTTCTTGTGATTGTAACGTGTTCAACATAATCTGTATGTAATGTTGGAGATCAATTTCTTGATAGCAAAATACCAAATACAAGTTTTGTGAAATACCGATAGGCAGGTTGCCACTCGGTCCCACGTTTGGGACTGATACTCCATAAAACCTTTCACCAGGAATTATTTCTATAGCTAGCTAAAGGCACGTAAACAGAACCTGCAGGTGTAGAACCTGAAATAAAAAGAAGATACCGCTGTTTTCATGCCCCAAATTAAAACTACAACCAATTTCTAACACTTCTAAATGCACCTCTATGTCAGTTTGTGTTACATTTGAACTTTCTGTTTCAGTGTACATTAAAAGAGGCTGTTTTCAAATTATCCTCTTAATGTAAGTAATGATATTTGGACTACAACTTTTGTCCAGGCAAATGATGGGCTGTAAAACGTAGCTGAGCGTTCACTGGTGGCATTTTTTAACAGGGCTTTGTAATTTGAATCTATATTGTACATTCTCCATCACAGAATTTGCTGCTGTTTCAAATTATTCAGTCATTTTCACCAGTTCTGGAGATTCTAAGAGAGTTCCTGTTTTGAGGGGATTAGTGATTGCTCTTGCTGTTGCCATACTGACAACTCAGCTAAGATGAGCTTATTTTAAAAAAGCTGCTTCTAACTCTTCTATCTGTGAAAATTTATCTTGAAAAGGTGACATGACTACCACTGATTCAGTGATGTGAATCACTGCGAAACATTTATTTTGAGAATTTTGTGTTACCTGCTAATCTCAGTGAGGATCTAGCTGTGAAATGTAATGATGGCAATTTATAAGTTGGTTTTTAAAAGCATTTAGAAGCACAAATCCCATTGATTTTGGAATAAAGTTTTTCCTCCTAAATTATCAAAGCACTTGGAAAAAAAATGCAATTAGCTATTTCTCTGCTAATAATTCTAACAGAGGTATCCAAGTAATATCATTTCTAAGTAATCCAAACCTATCTTATGCCTTCCCTTTGGGGGATAAAAAACCCAATGCATCCAGTTTTTCACTGTAGCTATACATTCTGTTTAGGAAAATACCCAACATTGCTATGAAGTGCTGGTAGGATAAAATAATCAGTACAAGGGTCTTACGATGTTTGAACTCGTATTTGTTTGACCAAAAACTGTGGTACAGGACCAAAGCACAGCACCACCACAAGTGACCTCAGTTTACCTTGCTGCACACCTTTGAGCCTGTAGTTCAGGAGACACGTTCCTAGACAGAACACTCTCGAGGCTAATATGGAGCCCCTCCGGAACAGCCTCTTCTGCAACCTGTGTCTGGCTGACAAATGGGCTCAGGAACAGGAAAAATTTCAAGAAATTTGATAATTAGAGTCCAATGTTTATCTTACCTGCTTTTGTGTGCACAAAATACAACTGCTGTATCAAGATGGAATGTATTTGAGAGAGCCACCACAGACTCATACAGTTAAAAAAAAAAATCTTCCCCACAATAATGAAAAAAAAATGAGACAGTGGGGGAAATAATTGTTTTCTTAATGTTTGCAGAGTACTTAGAGATTATAATATAAAAAAGCCTATGAAAGACCATTTAAATTTACATGTTTACTATCTTTGTAACTTCTAACTATGCAAACTTGCAGACCTCAAATGTTATTTTCCTGTATCACTCCAGTGAGTAAAATACAAGTAGGCATCTGAACGGCCAGTGTTTTTTAACTTGTTCTCTCAATTGGCAAGACGCTACGGGTTCAGAAAACCTAGATCAACACCAAAGTTGGTGTCTTAATACAAAAGCTAATGAACACCACTACAGTTACTTCTAGTAGAGAGAAGTTCTCCATTTTTAGAAAGACAAAAATAAACTAAGAGGGTGTAATGACACTGAGTGAGTTTTGAGGCAGGCTTTGAATTAAATTAAGAATTAATTAATTAAGAATATGTAACCACTTGCTTTTTCAAAATTCAGTCTGAGGTTTAACATTCTTATCAGCCTTCTCTGCTGCACACTTAAAGTCAAAGCTTGGCTGCATCATTTACATATTTTGGTTTACTGTTCCGTGCCAAGGGGGCATGATTCAGTCTGACTCATTCATCTGTTAAAATAAGGCTTATTCCAATATTAACTAGGGCCAAACCAAATCTGCACAAAGTAACAAAACCCCAGTTCACGATCTTTGCAGTTTTCTGCAGTTTTTAACTGAAATTGCTTTCTGGCAGTACAGTTGTGACAATTTCGCATAGTTTGGCTCCTCTTTATCAAATTATTCTCGCTTTCTTGCAACTGCATATTGTAGAAACACTTTATAATGAAAGGATTTCTGGATTAGCAATTTTGAAATAAAAATTACAGTAATAATTTTATGCTCAGTAATTGCTGTTTTGGTTGTACATCACACTGCTTGCCTATTATGTTTTGTACTTTTGAAACCTACAGTTCATTTAATTGAGTACTGCATTAAGAATATGCAACGAAACATTATTCATATTCAAAACATGGGCAAAGAGAATGTCTTTTACCTTTTGTCAGCAAAACCATCACTCCTCCCTGCAGGTCTTGTGACTTTGAAAGTTTACTTTTTTTCTTAACAAAAACAAAATCCAATTGTGGTCACTCAGGGATTATATTCTCTTGCTGCAAACATATTGCCATCACCACTGTAACTGCAGAGAATCATGTTTAGAGCAGTCATGCTATTTGCATTTGCCTCAACTGCTGAATAGTCATTTAACTAACTTTGTCCAATTTAAAGCCTCATGGTTATTTTTTGAGTGACAGAGGTATAAATTATCGCACTGCAAAACTTTCTATCAATTAAGAACAAGCTGTGCCTTTTGGTACGTGCACCTTTTAAGCAAATACATTTTGGGTTCACTCAGGAGTTGTTGTGGTTGAAGAGCAAATGACAGTGTGGAGGCAAAACGAATTTGGATAGCAAAACAGTTTAATCAAAGATGTTGCAATTTTATCGATTATACCACTTCCCTGTCACTTGGAAGACATGACGTGCTCTGGGCAAGACAGCGTGGCAGTTCTAGCCATGCAGTACATGGTTCTGGGGTGCCCCACGCTCACCCCCCCCCCACTCCCTGGAAAGATGATCCTGGACTCTGGTGCAGGCTCTTGGGGCTCCCCCCAGCATCTTTTCTCTATTATGTTTACCTCTTAAGTGCCCTCAGCTACCAGACTGGGCGGCTACAGGACACGGCTGATGATTAGCCCCTTCAAACCACAGTCTCATTTCCTGTTTTGCTGCGCCATTGTTGGAGCTCACCATCTGCTTCTTCAGACCCTTCTGGACACGTTTGCGCAGTTGTTCAGGACACATGGTTGATCATACTTCATCTACTTCCACTGCAGCAAAAAGTTAGTTAAAGTTCATCGGCTTATGCTAGTGGCGATGCTGCCTAGCCCTAACTCACGCTAACAGCTAGAGGAATCCTATCTGTGTAACAGAAATTAAACATTTTCTTTGCCTCCTGTTAAACCTGTAGCTTATGCAGACAGAAAAGGCCAAACATGACATGCCGGTTAAGCTGAAAAAACATGTCTCCAGTTCCCACTGAGAGGCTTCTCTTAAAATTCAAGCATACACCATTTCCAAATACCTTTCCTTCTAAATGCAGTAACTAAACATTTTCTAAGTCACACCCACACTTACTTATCTCCTATCCCTCAAAGGCCGCTGGGAGTTCACAGCTCATCCTCTGTCTTCTAATTGAAAAAACCCCACATTATCAACACAGCCATGAGAAGGTGCTGTCTGTGCTCAGCACCCGCTGAAATCAACAGTTAACTCTCAGAACAGATACACCTCTACCTTAGCTCGTCAGGCCAAGTTCAGGAAAAGTTTTAACTAGACATGGGCAAAAAGTTGCCACCTGGAGTCCAGGTTGGTACATGTAAAGCAAAATATTATTTTTTTGTACAACATACAGCTACGTATTGTCTTTTAACTAGACTGAAAATGGGCCAGCTGCCTGATTTGGCATTTAGAAGTGTGGTGAAATGGTACAAAATTAATCTTATTTCTTGTCATTCTTTTACTAAGTGAAAATAAAAGGGAGGAAAGAAAAGGGAGCAAATATATTATTAGCGATACTGAGACTATGCTGAATTTACTTACTTGAACTTTGCAATACTGCATTCCAGCTGCAGCAATCAAAACAAACGACTGATGTAAAAGCACGGGAAAAACATGCAAAAGCACAAGTCTTGTTTAAAGGCTTCATATAACAGAACATAGCTAGATCTTGCATGCCCCACAATTTCAAATTAAACAGCAAAAACCTTTTAAAGGAACTTAAAGATACCAAGTAGTCTTAATTTTTACCAGTCTGCATTTAAAAGTTTACAATAGAGAGCATCATGCTACAAAAGAATCTAAAAGAAAAGGCAACCAGTACATTTCAATTGTGTGAACTTAAATACACGAAGACTGAAATTGCTGGTACACACGTGTCTGAGATTATTCTAAACCGGATATTTAAGACAACTGAAGTTCAAGACGGTGAGACAAGCTGAGATTGTAACTGAATGACACCTCTTTAAATCAGAGCTTTTTCTCTAAGAATAAGAGGAGAGGTACTTTTACGTATTTTCATCTTTATTTAATGAGCACTTTGTTATTTTTCACTTAAGATTTTCATTCATTTTATCCAATAAAACCATTCAGTTTTGTAAATAGGGCTCTGGGCAGGTTGTGCATCTCTCTTGAAATACAATCCAGGAAATGGTGGATTTTATGCATCAGTATTTCAGTATGCATCAGTAGTTTTTCTGGAGTGTTTTACATACATAAACAGAGCACACCAAAGTACTGTTTCTTTCCTCGTGTTGGTATTTGGACTGCCATTTGTGCAAACCATTCTCATTTTGGAAGAAAGAGGCTTTCTTCAATTGCAGAATTCCATCAAAAATCATTTATCTGCAATTCTGATGTGTACAAAATACAAAGCTTTCTCACAGCTATTATATTAAACTCTATTCCAACTACAAGATTTGATAATATTACCAAAACAACGTTTACATTTTGGAAGGGGCTTTGATTGCAAGATGTCCACTCCTCCAGTCTTCTCAGCTTTCTGGAATGAAACAAACAGCTCACTGAAGCATTAAAACCACATTTACGCTTGGTTTGCTTTAGCTGAACCAAGATGAATAAGAGTCATAACGGTAGTGTAACCATGAAGCAGGTCATCCTTTATGTCATTGCATTCTCTCAATACGAAATTCCCAGTAACTATTCGATCACATCCTATTTCCCCATGTCCAAAAAAGCCAAAGAGGGGAACGTTTGGAAAAAACTTCCTAAATGCATCTGCTTCCATATTCCTTTTGGTTTTATAATGCCGATATCCTCTGCCAACACACGCAAACATGAAGCCAATGGTGTTACGCTCGGGGATGTTTGCTGCTTTGAGACGCTGCATGGCGGCTTCTGCTGTCCTCTCATCAGCTACATCCTGGTCTAACAAAACAGTGGCGCTCTGGATCTGGGGACCGCTGAAAGCCAGCCCGACCACACCGCAGGCATCACCGGGCTGGGCACTGTGACTGAAAGGCAACAGGCACCGAGTTAGAGGACGTTCCAGGGAGACCACTTCCAACCTGAATAAACTTCCGCTGTAGCAGAAGCAGGTTTCAAAGCAGACCAACATCCCAGTGATTCTGAAAGCCACCCATAGTTAAAAAACAAACCAAAGCCTTCAAATTTTAGCAACTTTTTTTTTTAGCAACTTTTCACAAGGAAAAGCATTCACATCCATTACCAAGGATTAAGCGTAAGCCTACCTTTCAAATACATGCCAAATTCAGCAGTTTGTGTATGTCACAGCTCTCTCAATTCTAACTAAAGTATTAGTTAAACTTAAGACAAGCAAAGATACTTGGCATTTACATATCAAACCAGGGCACCAGTCAGTAACGCCTTCAGATTCAGGTTCCTTTAAGTCTCCTTGGTTGGCCGGGACACATTGGTTTTGGTAGTTACCTACCTATGCTTTATTAGCAATAATTTAATATGCAGTCAGCTCCCTTATCCAGAGTAACGGTGGAGCTGGCATAAATCAGATGCAAGAAAAATGCTGGTATTACTATGGAGTCCAGACCTACGCTGGCGTGAGAGGAGCCGGTGGCAATGTCTGCACTGCACTCCCTCGCACAGGACGCCCCAAGGAGGATGCACCAGCACATCAGATGGTACAAAGGGCGCGCCCTGTGCAGCAGAGCAGCTGGAGCAACCAGACCCCAAATGTGCCCTGCAGGGATCCTGGCGTAGGGAAGGGGTTTAAGCTGGATGAGGTCTAGCTCGGTCCTGTGAGTGCCACGTCCTTCAGCAGCGGCAGCGTATTAGGTGTGCTCCTGGGGCACGGTCCTGTTTGCATGTTCAGCTACTGCTCTGTAATGTGAGCCAAACCCAAACTGATACAGAAACAAAATGTTCACATGAACGGCCTCTGTCACAATGAGTGATAATTTATCTGCAAGCCAGAGAGTAAACACGCTGCAATAACACACATAGGGTATCTGAACCTGGAAATCTCCTTTGCAGTGGGTTTCTGCTAGCTGGGTTTCCAGAATCCAATTTGTAACACAGTCATACAAAGCTTCCAGCTTTTCTGGCTAGATCACCGTGTAGCAGTTAACTTTGTTCTCTTTAAAAAAAATATTATCATTTTACTACTGTTAACGGGCATTTCTAATATGATATAACTAAAAGGCTATGGCTTCTGCTGTGTTTCTCCCATTTTAAAACTTCTTTAGAATTTACCTTGAAGAAGATACCTACTTCTCAGAGGTCAGTGATGTAAAGCTTTCCACTTGTCCCCCTGCCAGGATGATGCTTTTCTCATTCAAAGGATTGACTATTTGATGAAGAAATCGAGTAGCTCCAGACTTCCAGGAGTTGTAGCCAAACAGAAGAACCACCCGGAGATCTGGGTTATTCTTCAGACCTACAAACAAAAACAAAACGACAAACACCAATCCTCTTATTTTTAAATCCTGACCCCTGAAGTCCAACCATTCTAGTCTCTCCTCAAATAATACATCACACCTAGTAATGGCTTTCCATTGCTGTAACTGGGAAAACAAGGCACAAGTTGCCCAGGCATTCAGGAGCTGGGCTGCATGCCCCACGTAAGTGAGAATTTCTGAAAAGAACCTAGCAAGGAAAAGACAGCTGCATCTGCTTCCTCGAGCTTTCCAGTTCTTCAGCAGAGCATCTGAGTTTTACCACAGCCTCTGAAGGCACAGCTCTTCAGTTTGACTTGGCAGCCTTAATCGTCCTTTTAGAGATAAGAACCGAGCGTACAGGTTATTCAAAAACAAGACAGAAAGTAGCTTTACCTGAAAATTAAATAAATCACACATATCAGCCAGTTGCTTATCCCAAGGCAGAAACTCCCAGGTTCCTAGAAGACTCAAGAAACCCTCATTATATTACTCTTCATAAATTATCTACCCCGCTGAGGACACAACGTAAGTAATGTAAACCGTGTTTACTGAAATATGCCATCTTCTGTTCTACCTTTCTTTGCTACAACACCTGACTTAGGATCTAAATGCAAAATTTTTTTGGCGAAGAAGAGAAGCAGCTCCTCCTCACTCACTTCTAAATTGTAGTGACAGGAATCATTCCCAATAGCACAGGCTGATTTATCATTATTTTTAACCAATTACAGGCCGCTCAAAACCTAACAGCTCCCTCTGAACAGCTCCACTTGGAACTTAACCGAGGTAATCAGAGATCAATACTCAGGATAACTTAACCTTAATACTCCAGAGAACAGGAGGAACAGAGATGCATAATTACCAGCTGCAGCCCTACAGAGCCAGAGAGTGCTCTATGAATGGAGTTAGGACAGAAGCTCTTGGTTCCACACACAACTCCATGCTGGTGCCTAAAAAAGCAACACAACACTTCACAAAAGCCCAAATAAAGGGGAGAACAAGGACATACCTGCTTCAGCAAATTTACTTTCATCAAAGACCCTGTTCTTCAAGTCTTTAGAAAAATGGAAGGTGTGAATTTTCACCCCATCAATTTTGGGAAACAACAGAGCAAATCCAGCTTCACCCTCTTCAATTTCTTGAGGCTGATTGCTGCTTGAACCCATAGGGGTAACTACAAGGATACAAAACCAGACATCTTGTGTTCAGTTTCTTTGCTGTGTCTTTACTGTTCAACGATTCTAATACTTTTGTCTACGCTGTAACACAGATTAAAAAAGGCAGAGCAGCTCAGGTGATGTAAAACATGACAGCTCATTTCCATAACAACATATCTAATTGACAACAGGTGTCATTTTTTTGTTGATATTTTAGAAAGACAAAGCATGTAGGAGTCCTGCTGGCTATAGATCACTCTGGACAAGGAGTCGTGGATATATTTGGACATTTCCCCCCAGCCACACCAAATATAAAACAGTTGGAAAACAAGCACTGTCCCATACAGCTGTCTCAAGCCTTCCTGCCAACTTCTGCAGGCACGGAAACATACGCAGATTTTTAAGGTGTTACACAAGTGTGCAATGACAGCAGAAAGCAAACTGACACAAATATTGGGAGTGTGTTATTGAATCATGCTAGTGACAACAAACAAATACCCTACTTATGCTGTGGGAAGAGAATTTAAGGTGAGAAACCAGGAAAAAACTTAAAGGACTAGAAAAAGGCTGACAAGGGAGACTGTGAATTTTCCATAGTTATTGTGTATGCCTCCTGGTAGACCATAACAAACAGGTACATACCAAGGACGTCCTGTACAGTTAGTCACAATATGACTCTGAAAAATACAGATAAGTCCAAGAAACTTTCGTTACTGCTCAATTAAATCAACCCTTTTAATTATAACTGCATCACGGGAAGCAAGAATTTAAGCTCCATGTGATTTAGCAGCGACACTGCAAACTCCTTAAAATTGAAGCTAGCACTGAACAGGGTAGGAGCAGAACACGGTAATAAATGTAAGAACTCTCCTGTCAGCCTGCAGGACTATGCTTTCAAAAAACATATGGAATTGTGATAAACAGGAACTGGAATAGATGTGCAATATGCTGGACACCTTCAAGCTGATCTCTCACAGAATCACACGTTTTCCTCCTACCTACAATCCCCGGGGTGACCAGTCCGAGAACCTGACATCGCTTTGGCAACAGTTTTTCAAGCGCAATTGCTGTTTCTTTACTGTTTCTTTTCCTGGCTATTAAAATAATAAAAAACAAAAAACAAAAAAGGCAGAAAGAAGTAAACGTGAGTTGTTCTGAACAGTACTGGAACAAACGCTGCAGTCAGTCCCATCCTGTCTAACCAATGCTGCCCATCAGCGGCTGCCCTGTTAACAGCATGGCAAACCGGTACAACTTGGTGAGAGCACAGGACTGCTGGCGTGCAAACAGAATCAATGTCCTCCAGGGAACGGGAAAGGAACTCGTCTACGTAACATAACACGCAGCTACAAACTGCGTTCATACCACAAACGCAAAGCTACGCGATCACGTTTTCTGCAAAAGATGTACTTCCCCTTGAAATTCAAACTGACAGCACGGCCTTTCGGCTAACTTGTTTCTACGCGCTG